GCGTCTTGAGTGTCTGCATCTGTTCCCTTAGGCAGTCTTTTCCTGCCTCCAGGCCTAGTATTTGAGTTCTTAGTCTCTCGTTTTCCTCCTTCCATTCCTTTTTTAGTTCCTCAACTAGGTGTTCGGCTCCCAGGCATCTTTCTTTCTAGTGCTCCAGGTCCTCCTGGAGTCCCTCTACCTGTTCCTCCTGGGTATCTAGTTTGTTTTACAGGACAGCCACTACACCTCTGGCTACGTCTAACTTGTGCTGCGTCTCCTTCAGCTCCCCTGGCGGCATTACACAGTCCCCCTGTGGCTGTGCCATCCAGTTATCCATCTCCGCCTGCATCCTCCGTAGCCTTTCTTCCCTAATTTGACCCTTCTGGGCCTCCTGAGTAAACAGCTGTTCTAGCTCTTTGGTTCTTTCTGTCTCCTCTGCCATTAGTCATCTAATTTCCTTCATTCCCTTATCTTTCTTTCCCAGCCGCTCTAGTATCGTGGCCTTAGCCTCAGCCACTTCTCTCCGGGCTTTCTCCATGGCTAAGTCCCGTTCTAGCTGGGCTACATTTTCCATCAACTCCTCCAATCTCAATTGCCAGAGAAACTTTTCCTGGTCCCCCTTGAACTCTCCCTTAGCCAGGACAACCCTAACCTCTTCTCTTTGGCTCCGGGCCTCCGTCATGCTAAGGGCTTCCGAGTGATGGGTTCCTGCCCTCCTTTCTCCCTGGCAATCCATGATAAAGAAAAATTCTCTTTCCACAACGTCACTCTCTTTGCCCAACCCTGGGTTCGTTGGCTCCCCTTGTAGGGGACGTGGGTTTCTAACCTGCGCACGGCCAACTTCCCGGCCAATGCACCAGTTGTCACGGGGTGGGGCCTATGGGCGGCCGTGATCCCACTAGGCCCCCCTGCCATGCCAATTAGGAGATCCAGCACCCTCTAATTCTCACCCGCGTCTTTGATCTTAATAGTTAATATGGGAGGCTGCCTAGGATCTCCTATGATCTCAGGGTGACTTGGTGCTCCCCAGCCTTATGGGCTATGCGTGCCTCCTACCTCCCCTTTAGCACGCCCCAAGCCTCGCAGTTATTCCTGACGTTCTTGTGTCTCCAAC